AAATATTTAAACACTTTTATTTATACTTTGAATTACTATGAAAGTTGAACCTCAAAGTGCTTGTCTTTATTTTGTATTTGATTGTCATACTTTTGGTGGTGAAGGGTAGAATCCATTTCCATTGAAAATTGTTTTCCAATTTGAGTTTTGAAAACAAAATTTCGTTTTATTCAGAATGATGTTATCGTTGATCAATGATGAATCAATTTCTCCTTCTCTTCTTTTGGATCGAATCAATTTGAATCGATGAAATCCATTAAGTTCCAGTTGTTGCTTTAGTTGGATTACGGGGTTAATTTAATGTAAAGCTTGAAATTTTTCATGAAATTAAACATTGAAAAGAAGAAATAAGGAAAGTGAGACATTTCATTTAAAATTTATTGAAAATGCATGTTGATTGTTGACAGTGACACGAAATTATAAACTTGCTTGTAATAAAAGTTGATATCGGTTTAAACAATGTTTCTACATTACTCGGGGAACTCTGTCATTCTTTTCGAAAACTCGAACTTTATTTCTTCTTTTCTCAATAATGTCATTGCGCTGAAACATGTTTTTGGTAACCCTGACAACTGCTGGATGATTCTTGCTTCTGGTGACCTCTATATTAAGTGAATCGAAGTGAATTTATTAAAACTTCAATTTTTGCGCTTAAAGCCTAACTGTAATGGCAGCTGGCAAAATTTCAAATAAACATAGTGTCAACGTACGAAATTGCTTTTGCACAAATTTCATTTGATATCTAATCAACAATTTACTTACTTTCGTTAGTATTTGTCCTTTTAAATAGCCTTTATTGCTTGTTCTCGCATAATTGTATCTGATTAATTAAATGACAATCTTGATGATGCTGCAAGGAAAGCAGTGTACAAGTTCAATCATAACAATTATTAATATTTGCAATGGTGAAAGGAATTGAAACGTGAAACAGTTGATTTTTTGACTACCAGAAAGATGCTGCGCGTTTCTCAAGATAGTACTCTATTTATTTCTAATATTAGCATTACAGTGGCCGTGATAACTATTCTCTGTTTCGTATTTTGTCTATCTTTTTTTCGTACCTAATGAAAGCACCAATGTATTAAATGGCTAAAAGTTAATACAAAATTAAAATAATGTATTTAGATACTTCAGGCTTTCTTACTCACTTCATGTACTTAAATAAACCTGTTTATTTGAGGATAACTTTTTAAAATTATTTTGCTATTTTGCTATCTGTAAATCCGCTGCAATCAACACCATTGAGAGTTAGTAGTAGTTTTATACAATAAGGGGTTATGGAGGGATGAACTTTATTCAGGAAACTTTATTTCATAGCCCAGATATCATCAGACTGATAGCCAAAAAACGTGCTGAATTTTGTGGTAAATGTAATAACTAGTGACAATCTGGTTAATTTTATTTTTTTATTTTAATCAGTATGTGTTAATTGTAATGAAATTGTACAACTCATGTTAGATCACTACATTGTATATATTCATGGATAAGAAGCGAGGCCGAGAATCTTATCAATGAATAACTGCATGAATGTTAATTCAATGAACACTATCATCTTAACAATCCTTCGATCCTCTGTTTCGATCCTTTATTAGCATGTATCAGTAATTCAAGAGCATTTTCATGAAGATATTCATCTGTAAATCCGCTGCAATCAACACCATTGAGAGTTAGTAGTAGTTTTATACAATAAGGGGTTAGATTAAGAATCTGTTCTTCGCTTAGCAGATCAAGGATGTTAAATAGATTTAAATCAACATTGAGACTTGGTATACAAAGAGATAAAGAAGCTTTAGCATTTTGAATGCCTGGAGCGACTGGAGCGGATGGTGAACCTGGAGAAAAGAGAAAAAATAAGTAAAAAATTATCAATTATTCAAACTGATTGTTACAATCTTTTCACCACATTCAACTCCAACCGTCATTTTACAGGGCATTTCAGCTAATTTTACCGTTTTAAATTGGCTATATCTTTGCTCCTGAATGAACTTGAGGTGTGTTATTTTGTTTATGGAAATTTTGGCGATACTCAATTGTCATTTTTCAAGGTCAAGGTGATTCAAGGTCATTGCGTTATTTGACCTCTGACTGATATTTGCCGGTCATTTTCTGAGAGCGCGAGAATTTTTATATTGTTTGATGCTTGCTACGAGTTGGTATCTCGCACCGTTGGAAAGATAAATGCATTTTTCTCAAAACAAATTTATCAACACATCAATGCGTAAACACTCATATCATTTGACCAGAATAAATTATGAAAATGTCACTAGCATCAAACAGACTCCGGACATTCACTGCATAATGGGGTGCTGCTCCATCTTGCTGAAAGATGAAGTAGCTTTCCCAGTCTTCTCTTATCTCTGCAAGCTTAGGAAAGACAAAAGTTCGCAACATCTGCTCGTACGAATCTCCTTTGACAGACCGAGAATAAAAATAAGGCCCGATTCTCCCTCCTGCCCAGACTCCACACAAACCATGCCTCTCTCACAGCCTAAATTATCAGCCTCGAAAGAACGATTTGGATTAGATGAATCCCAGTACACACAATTGTGTCTGTTGACAGTTTGTGCGAGACTGAAAATTGCTTCATCTGTCCAAATTATTCTTTCGAGCAAACTGGAGTCTGAGCTCACCCTATCCAAAACCATATCGCACCATTCCGTCCGACGATCAAAATCATCTTCATTGAGCTTATGAAGCAATTTGAGGCGATAAGGTTTCAGCTTCAGGTCCTTCCTAAGAATTCGCCAAGCTGTGCTTTGAGAAGCATTGATTAGTGGTGCTAACCGAACGGAAGTGAGAGAACGTCCCTCTGAAGAGGCTTGTGCTGTCAAAGCTGAGCCTGTTCGATTTTCTCTGTAACTCTGACAGTTTTCTCTCTCTTCCGTTGGTACTCCACCGACCCATACTTCTGAAAAATTTTTTCAATGTTATGCATTGTTGTGGGGTGGACCTTCACGAACCTGTTGCCCCAAACACGCTTCAAAGCCGCAGTTGTTCGAGCGGGAGAGCGTCCATTGAGCAAAAACTGGTAAAAAATGTCCGTTATTTGTTGACGATTGAATTTCTGTCTTGGACTCATGTTGAAAAATTTGTGTTTTCTTTAATAATGATAATGAAATGATAATGAGATGAATCGATAGAAATTTTATTTTAACTGATGAATGCGACACGAATGTTTGAAGCGCTTTTTCTGATTAAAACCTTCAGTAAAACAATTCGAACTTTTGGAAATGAATTTTTTGACCTTGAAAAAGCAGTTATGACCTTCAAATGACCTCTAAAGGGCATAGGAACGATTTCCGAAAAATGACCTTGAATGACCTTGACCTTGAAACATAAAAAATGTATGTCTCCCAAACTCCCTATATTCGATTCCTAGGCCAATAGCATGTATGGTTGCAAAGTTATTGGCGTTCAACATCATACTAAGTAGCTGAATAGCCCTGTATCAGAAATTCGCCTCAACAAGGCAAATTTCATAGATTTGAGTTTTTTCATGAATTTTTAACGCAAGCACCTTTATCTAATTAATTTCATCTCATTGATACTGCATTTATTTATTGCAGTTATTTAAATTTAATTGAAAAATTGGAAAAATTTACAGCTCCCATTGGATAGCATTGATTTCTATCAAAAATACAGTTTTTAATAAAACAAATACAAATCCCCATAGAAGAGCATACAATTTTTTTTCGAAAAAGTTAATAAAATGCCAAAATTGAAAAGGTGGCAGCTAATTCTATTATCTTAGTCCGGTCGATGGTCGAATTTACCGATATCTAAAAATAAAATCTCGATATCGATTTAACAATTCGAGAGGTTCCCTCATTAGATTTAATCTTATCGCACCAAGATTAAAAGTGGTATAAGTTTGTTAGATCACGTTATCTCGGGAATTCTAAGATTCTCGACCCCGAGGGGCCTCGCTTCATATCCATGAATAAATCCAATGTAGTAATCTAACAATTTGTACCAGTCTTAATTGTATTAATTTGCTGCACTGGTATTAGTGCAATATACTTTTCCTAAACAATGGCTTTCCTAAAAAAGTGGTATAACTATTTTTAATCGGATACAACTTGCAGTACTTTGAATATTCTAATAGAGATGGCAGTATGTGTATCATCTAGCATTTCAACTTCACACGAGTAATTTATTAGAATTAACAGGTTCATTCGCAGGATTAAGAAGGATTAACTCTATTTCAATTTTTCAATATATAGCCCCACATTCCCATAGGCCAGTGCACAATTTTGCATATATTAGCTGTATTCATGCTAATGTCCAAAAATTATCAACTTTTAACTCATTTCTCACTTTTATTTTTGTAGCCACTTCTTATGCATGCTAAGATCCCATCAAGAGCGATTTGAAAGCGACCTGAAATTAGATAATTTTTATACTTGCTCATAAAATTCAAGGATCTATTCTATTTTTAAACAGTCTGTTCGGGGTTTAATCGAAAGGTCAAAAGTAAAACATGAATAGCATGTAAACTTGATGGACAAAGAAGCAAAAAAGTTCAACCAAGCAAAGGCTGAAAGAAAACAAGAATTCATCTCATTATAATCACTTATATAATCTATAGTCTGAACGCTTTTTCTTTCCTTCGAACAACTGACATTCTTGATAACAGGTCAATCGGAAACTTGACATGGGAGTATCTTATGTAATGATTAAGAAAAGATGAAAAATGGTTCCATTAACCCAGGATTGTTCACGTTTCAATAAAATATTCATTATTGTTTACTCATCAATATTTCCTCTCGATATTGAAGCTATTAACATTGATTCAATTTTGCAAAGATGTTTAAACTTGGCGTAAAACGTGCATCATGATGTACTCAACATTTTTTGGCTCATGATTTTGACGTCAAATATAGAATGACGAAAGTTGCTGTATTATGCCGAGCAAATTATTTAGTGAAAGATCGTAAGACCGAAATGAATGCAACAGATTGGATAGAAAAAAGCAAATTTAAATTTTATTTTATCTTCGCCACTCAATTGTCGATTAATTTACATGGAAACAATATACAACTTTGTGTTACATGAAAGAAATTTTTACACTTTATTATAATATCGTTTGCTTAATAATTTATAGTTACAAAGATTAAATTGAAAATGATATTTACAAGGTTAACAACTATGGACATTGTTTTACTTTGCTTTTGGTTACCTGAAGTTATATCATTATTAACATCGGAACCATCTGAGAAGGGTCAACCAGTAAAGTTGTGTGAAAATTCCAAGGTATCCAATGTGTGTTTTCATTCATGTTTGTTCCAGAATTTCATTTAGAGAATAAATAGAAATGAAAAGGCAAAATTAGTAATACAATTCTTTCATTAGTTGAATTTTCGTTGCACTGAACTGAATAAACTATTATCTTGTTATCGATAGTTTTTGTCGCTAAGCAATCTACTTTTAATCATTGATTCCGTCTGAATTATCTTTTTAGTATTGATTCAATATTGATACACAATTTCATTACAACATTGATTAGATAACTATTTATCGACTTTCATGTATCGGGACTTCAATATTTTTCTATCATCATTCATAATTGCATCAAGTGCTAGGAACTATTGTCTATCGGGCTAGAAATTCTGGTTCTGATTCAATAATTTATTTTCTTTAAGCGAAGACAAATTTATAAATCAATAAAACAAGGTTGCTATTTAACGTTGGACAATATTTTTGCGAAATTTTCGTTTCTTTGAAAATTCGAAAAACATTTTTATAAATTGCAATTTTATGATTTAATTACCGTTAGAACTTCGACTTCTAGCATTGGTTGGATCACGACGAGCACCTTTACCTCCAGGAGAGTGAATGCCTGTGAAATAAAATGAAAAAAACATTTACTTTTAGCTACGAATTGGCCTAAAGGGAAAAACAAATTTGATCAACCAAATAAACGTGGAACTACGTAAAGGGTGTATTGTTTAAGAGTGCAATTATGGGAGCCAAAAGAGTAAAATTTATCTAACTGATTGTGGTGATTATGGTGATAAAGATGTTGATAAATATTTTGCATTTTTCATCATTGTCCATTTTCACCTTTATCTTCATCTTATCAACATATTTATCGTCATAACCATCACAATCAGATAAGTAAATGTTACTCTTTTGCTCTCATAATTGCACTCTTAAACAATACACCCTTTATAAGGATAATCATTTAGCAAAAAATATGTGAATAATACGAGGGAGGCAAAAGTAAAGTTGAGGATTCAAAGTCATTTTCATGCGAAATGAATTGAATAGGAAAAAGTGTGGGAGGAAAATTTTATCAGATGAATAGTGTTACTATCATTATGATAAGGATAATTCAGAGGAACAAGATTATGGATAAAAGAAAAGGTGTTATACCATATAATTTGATTGAACCTTCAGTTGAACCAAGTGAGTTTCGAGCATAACACTTGAAGGTTCCAAAATCATTTGGTGAAATGTCTTTTATTTTAAGTATCATTTGGGCTCGATAAAGCCTCTCAACGGTGTGTATCTCATATTTATCGTTAGATATTAAGGCATCTTCATCATCTTTTGTCCAATAGTTGATTGATTTTGGTGAAGATTCTGTATTGCAAATCAATACTGCATCACTGCCCATTGATGCAGCGATTAGCTGATTTGGTACCCATATCATTGGCGGAACTGATCACAGTATGTTTAGTAGACAAAAGAATAGCAGAAAGAGAGAAAAAAGAAATAAGAAAAGGAAGAAGATTTGTAAGATTATTTAAGACGAATCCGAGTGATAAAGAGGAAAAAAGAAGAGGAAAAAATCAGAGAAAAAATAAATAACAGAATAACAATGAAAAAGTACAACAAGAATGGGAATTGATAGGAGTAAGATGGAGATAAGTAAAGAATCAAGATTCAGTAAAGAGAGAAGAGAAAGAGGAATGATTTGGAAGACAAAAAAGGCTGATGCAATTGATCATTGATTTGTGTCAAATTGGATGAACACAGGACAAGGAGTCAAACTGATGGGACAGAAAAAGGCAGTCAGCTTGACTTGCGATCATGATTATCATTTGGTTTTGTGTACAGCAAAAGGAATCGCTCATTGTGATGGAGAAACATGTTGTTTTTGTCGCCAAAGATGAGCAATATGAAGAATGAAAAGAGAGACAAAAAAATGCTATTGGTCAACATTATTTAGACAAAGAATAAGATGATTAAGATGATGATAAACTCATATTGATGGTGATAGTGATGGCGATGAGAAATGTTGATGAGAAGGCAAGTTGAACTGAATGATAATGGTTAGTGAATGAAAGTGTTATAATGGCGAAAGAGACGGTAAGAGGGCGACATAAAAAGACAGTCAGGAAGAGGGAAAAAAAGTAAAGACAACAATCAAGATGAATAGTGAGTGTGTGAGATAAGTTGAGATGAACATGTTTCTACACAGATAATACCATTAATCAGACCAAGAGGGAGAGATTCATGGGTTGGAGGCTAGATAAAGATGATGTTATTCAGAAGAGTGAGACGGAGAGTGAGAGAGAGACAATGAAAGGCTAAAAGTCATGTTAAAAAAAGGATGAGTAAGAATCAGTAATAGAGAGATAAGAGGAGAAAAAGTAGATGAAAGGAACATGAAGATTTTGTTGTGGAAGAAAGAAAATGATAGTGAAGGTTGAGTGGATATTCACAGTTCAATTCAGGCTCGTTAGGCGTTAGAATCTTAATAAAGCATAATGTCAGCTAAAGAATAAGGTAATGATAATGATAATAATAACAATACTAATAATGATGATGATGATGGTAGTGGTGGGAGTGAGTATAACGAATGTTGGTATATTGAAAAGAATTGTAAAGAATGAGGTGATAATTGAGTGCTATATGATGATCAACACTGAAAAGAAGCGAGAAGAAAATGTTATGGAAAAAAGTGGAGAACTGGAACAAAACAATATTGGCAACATGAACTGGGACTGTAAATGGGAGGCAAAAGATGAATAAAAGTCAAGTGAGGTGAGTTGTGATCAACACTAAATATGTATCATTAATATCTATTGTTTTTATCGTTTACTTTCGTTTCCCATTAGAGGCAACAACAGCCAATAATCATCAACCGTAAGTCAAGTGAATTTAGGTTAAGCCTAGTCAAGGCTTGAGGGTCGGTTAACGTGTCGATGGAGACTGAGGTTATGGTGGATACAAAGGAATCAAAGTTGACTTACAGTGAACATTTAAGATGATTCGGTGGCTAACTGAAGGTTGAACACCATTGGTAGCTATACAAAGGTAAGCACCCATGTGAAGACGACTCACTTTGTTTATGGTCAGTTGTTCGCCTTCAAATTCTTCAGCTGAAAAGAATGAATGAAAAAAGAAATTTTTGTTAATTAGTTAGGAGGCATTGTTATCATGGATAAAGACGAAAATGTTTGTAAAGAATGTAAAGTTGAAAAGAGTAAAAAGGTCAGATAAAATCAGGATGGAAAAGTGCTGGAAAGGAAAAGATTTGATTCAGAGTGTCGGGTGGAAAGAGCATGAAGAGGCAAAAAATGATTAATGAATAAACAGTGAATTATACTTGGAGGGAAAAATTGGTTTTCGTCCCTCATTTCAAATATTGTATTCAATATAATGTAATATTCAAGCAATTTTTGTGTGATGATAATGACTAAAAGCTGGGCAAAGAATGAAAATGATGGAAAAACAAGAAACTCAGTTAACCTGAACAGCTTTTCAACGAACCAAATTTGGTAAGGTAAGCAAACATAACGTGATGATAATTAATTTTTCAAGATGAATTTTTAATGATAACTTTACTTTTGAAAGCAAAGTGTATCACCATCAACAACTTAAGAGAATTAATTTTCAAAGAAAATTCTGAAAACGAGATAAAAAAGAGTTTAAAGGTTTCTTCAGAAAAGGCATCTCGATCCTGGAAAAGGTTTTCCAACGTAAGTTGAACAAAAAACTGAACAAAAAGGTCAAACACCGAAAACTCAACTGCACAAAATTATGAAAATAGATTTCTGCATTTTCCAAAAATCGAAAAGTTTAGCTTCGAAATTTTCCTGTATAAATAGTTTTATCACTTTCCAAATGATTAATAAGAAATGAAATATCAAACAATAACTTCGATAAACAAACTATTGAAATGTTTAAGTTGAATAATGTGAAAGTTCAAATTTGTACTCATTCAAAGTTATACAAATAAATGTTGAGATTAATATCATTGTTATTAAGAAAATGAAAAGTTACGATAAATTTGTTCAAGAAATTTGATATGAAAACAGAAAAAATTTCGATTGCTCAACTCATTGTATTAATGAAACTACATTTTACCAGAGAAGAGTAAAAGTATTCAAATGAAAATTCAATTTAATTTCCATGCAGACACAACTTAAATACTTTTCAATTTTGTACTTTTTTCACTACAAAAATAATCAAAATTGTATAATTTACAACACTTTCAACTTCATGTTCTTGTTCAATAAATCAACGATAATAATGGAAATACAAGTTCGAAGATTTTAAATGTATTTTCCTTCGAATTGAGTCAATCTCATCAATGGATTGTGCAAAGAATGCAAATAAAAAGTAATGACAATTTTCATTTTGATAGAGCAAGAAAGTTTCATTCTTTTTCCATGCTCAATTCTGGTTCATCGAGCCATTCAAATCAAAAGTTTAACCTTGTTTAACCTAAAAGGTGAGGTGAAAAAAGACATGAAAAAAAGAAAAGGATGAAAATGGAGAAAAAAGTTGGAAAAGATTTTTGCCTCTCAAATTACACTTTATGCTAAAGAAATGAGCAACAATTATTTTTTCTCATTACCATGATTTCATGAGCTTATCTTAGGTTATTTCATTCTATATCCACCTGATGGAAACGACTTTTTGTGCTCTGCTTTTAAGCATAAAATGCTTCATGATAATGTAAATTGAACCTTTCATCGTAAATAGAATCATCTTGGATTATTTTTGTCTCCAAACTCATATCATCTTTAAATGTTAGGACCTTGTTCAATTTAAATTAATTTACCAATGAACCTTAATGCTTCCCAAGGGTTCAATTGGGTCTACACTTTCAATGCGCTCAGATTTTCGATCCAAAGTTCGTCTCAACCAAGATTAAACTCATCATTAACATCAACATTAACCAATTTACACTCGCAAATCTCGGCTCACTTCAATTCCAATGGAATTGCAAGTTTGAAGAACAAACCAAAAAAATATTCCTACTTAACTTAACTTCACTCCCTGTTTCACTCCCTGTTTTCAACTCCCAATAGCTGCCATAAAAACTCAATTGACTGAAAGAAGCAACGAAACTGAAAATTAGTAAACTTTGATATTCCAATAAATATCTAGATTTACCTTTTTCTTTAGTTCCTTGTTGGTCTCTTCTGTGAGGATAAAATGTCAAAACTCATTAATCTTCCGGAAATAGAATTGATATTAACAAGAAACTTGAGTCAAGTGGTTTACTTTGTTTTCATCTCATGTTATCATTATCATTACTATAATCAAATTTTATCATCATATTTAATCAAAAATGTTCATTTTCCTTTTCTCTCTTTTTTTCCAATCATGTTCTGTTTATACAGGGAATGACGATACTCTCATATCAAATGATCATCATCACTGTAAATAGAATTTTTTTCTCCTTTTTCACGTTAGCTTTGTCTTCTCATCTTTTTTTGTCTCTTCAGAATCATTTTTCAGGCTAATTAATCTTTCATTGTTGACTGTACAAAAAGGTTTAGTGAAACGTCAAAAGATAACACTTAGTTTAATGAAAAATTAACATGAAAATTGAAACTTTTACCAATCATTTTTTGATTAATTCAATGGGTTAAACAAGTTTGACCACTAATTGGAAAAGTTTATCAAAAGTAATTTACTTCGTTTATCATCAACAGCAAAAAAAGAGAAAAGTCTATTTCAATGTTGAATCTAACTATAAATAGATACTTTGATTTCACAGAGAAACAAGTTGAGCATCAACACACGAATGAATTATTTCAAAAGTCAATGTTTCAATTTTTATTCTTGTTTCATTTCCAAAACTTCAAAATGTTTCACTTTGATTCATGGATTTCAATGCAATATTCATTTCATCATTTTGCCATTGGATTTAAAACTTGATTCAATTGATTCCGTTTCTCAATTTGGATTGATAAATCAGAGTTTCCAAAATGATTCAATTCAAATGGAAAATGAAATGGACATATTTTTAGATTTAATAAATTATTCTTTGTTCACTTTCTGCTGGCAAGGAAAGGAAGGAAATGAAATCTTGACCAGAACTGCTCGTAATTGGTGTTCATTTTCAAATGCAACTGATAATTTTACTTCAACTTTGGGTGCTTATCATCATCATCATCTTCTTTGTTCTTTGTTCTGTTTTCCTTTTTTCCACTTTTCGATCGATAAACTGATGCATCAATATCATGATGATGACGGCAATGATGATGATGATCAATATTATCCCATTGTTTTACATGGTAAAAGTGAAATTGTGTTACTAATAATACTAACCATTTTAACCAGAAGAAGAAAAAAGTAGAGAAACAAGGGAAAGAATAAATCAGAATAGATATTGAAAGTTATCTGTTGAAAAGTATTCTGAAACAATTTTTCTTTACCCTTTTCTCTTTGCCTGTTTTCCTCTACTTTTTATCCTCTTCCAACTAAAGAAAGATCTTTTTCCTTCAAGAATGTGACAGCCTTTGGTAATTATACAAATGCTTATATTCATTGAACCCAAAGGTTGTCTCACTTTTGTTCACTTGATTAAACCAAATATTTATCCATCGAAGTGAAAATCACCAAATAATCTACAATTAAATTCATTCTGACACTGACTTTTCATCATTTCAACAACAACAATTATTTGATTGTTGTTATCCAAACTTTACCAAACAATAAAATCGATAGCAATGAAAACATTCCAATCAACCAACCTTTTCCAGGAAGAGTAAACGAAAACCCAGTCAAATCTGAATATCTTATTTCAAACGTAGAAAATTTTTCTAAATTGAATTCCATTCTTTTGAATTTTCCAAATTCTTGACGATTAAAAACCAGAGAATGCATTAGTTGCGAACTGAAAGTTTCAGGTAAAATGCAATAAATAACATTCTCTTAAACGATCTCGTTTCAAGTCAATTTCGTAAACCAATCGTGTTAACAGACCAAAAGAAACTTCACAGTTTTGGTTGATCCTAGAAAATATTTTGTGTAAACTAACGAACTGAACCAAGTTTGATTTGCTTTGCTCAAGTTGAAACTACAAGAGAAACGAAATTCAGAGACTGAACTCTGTAATGACCATACATTAATTGGAAAAGGTTTAATGGTTTAATAATATTCATCAGTTATGATTCTGCACGCACTTGTAAGATAATGTAGAAGTCTCAGAAGTCTAGAACGGAAGAGTTTTACTTGAGCAAATGGTTGCAACGATTCTGATGGAAATGATGGAAACTATAAATGAGCAAATGGCTGGCAATTTCAACAATTGCTTCTATTAACCTGAATCCATTTTACAAGTTAATTGTCCACTTTGAAGAAAATGAACAATCAAAAGAACGACTCAATCTCTAATTGGTTTTACCAAATCTTTTCGTTTCTCATTTCATGAACAAATTGAGTTTACGATTTTTGAGAATTGTAAATTGATCAACAGTGAAAAAGAAGGAAAATGATTGAAACTAATTCTTCTCTTCATAATGATTATTTTTTATTATACACAACATAATGATGATGGTGAGTTAACAACATTTTTATCAGTTTTGTTGATGAAAAAACACTCGACTTTGTTGAGTTATTGTTTGTGTATTGATTCACTGATCAATACACGCTTCTGAATCATGAATTATTCGTTGCATTTTTTCACTTCTAATATTCTTATATTCAAACCCTTTTTCTTCTTATCGTTCATGTTCAGATGTTAAATTGAACAACATTTAACAATAATAATCATTGGAGCAAAATGCTGCAAGGAAATTCCAAGAAGTAGAAGAAGAGAAGAAAAAAATAGTCTTTCTCTTTATGCAATTATTATCTTCATTTGAATCATCAGGAAATGGGAAACACGAATCAAGACGAAGAATAAATTGATTCAAGTTAATGGATTCAACTTATAATTTAAAGTTGAACAATTGTTGGCCTAATTAGAGTAAAATGATGTGCAAAAAGAAGAAGAAAAGTCATATTAAATTTCAACATTGGCGTAATGTTTAAACCTCACCAGAACACCATGATAGCCTAAAGAAATTTTCATCACAATTTCACTTCTCTTTTCATATCTAACGATTTGCACCTTTTACCTTTTGCTAGTTGCAACGAA